TTTCTGTCCACCTCTTTAATTCATAAATTACTTGGGCCATAATCCCTAAGGTCCCTGCCCTTGTCTCTCCTGTGCTGATTCTGGTTCTTGAAAGAAGAAGCCTTTTCTTTAATGCAGTAACTTAGCCATTCTTCATTCTCTGCCTTTTGCTTTTCTTACCAGCATTTTAATCTCACCATAACTGTAGAACCATTTTGTACTCTCTGTGTAGATTTTATTCAGCCTTTTTCTTACGTGGTGCTTTTGCGTATCCTTGCTCTTGCTTTCTTTTTAAAACTGTGTGTATTACTGGATGAAATTTGAATTCCTTGAAATATTACAGTATACTTGTCATCCCTGCCACAAGTCCCTTTTCTTCATTGTTTTATACCATTGACTCTGTTTCCTCTCCCTCCACCGTGCCTCTTATTTCCCCCACACAGGCACTTATCACTCTCTACTTCCAGCTTGTAGTTTATCGATTGCCTCTCTTGGTTAGGGGGATTCAATTCACCATTTCATCTCCGATTAAATTATTGATCACTTCAGGGACAAATGACATCATTCAGTATGCATACTTCCAGAGATTTCTCTGTGGATTATAGGACAATGTGATGGATTCTCTATTAGCTATACATAAAATGAATCTGGTTGGGTACATACAGAAGACAATTTTTTTTAATAAAGATGTTATTGCTTTTGGAACTATTTTGATCATGCTGTGAAGACAATTAGGTGCAACACTTGTGCTGTTTATAGGAATAACATGCTTAATTTGCTTTCTCTTCCCTTGGAAATCTGCTGTCATAACTTTTACAGTTTGCTTTGTGGCATTCATTATCTGCCTTCCAGCTTGTCTGCATAGCATCAGTGCACTGAGGTAGCAGGTGTTGTTTCTCATAAAAGAACAGAAATGATCCACCTCAGAAAAAAAGTTACAATTGCATGGCTTGTTACTATACTGCCTCCCCCACACAACCCACAAGCTCCTCCCATACTTCAAACCATGACCTCTTCGCTCTGCCTCTGCATTCCACTGTATGTTTTTATTTTTTCCCTTAAGTGAAGGATACAGAAGGATAGAATTTGTAATTCCTTAGATAGCCTTGTACTTTTGCCCATAAATTTATTGGGAGAGGAAGTTTAATGCTCCTCACCTCCCCAAAAACTCAGTTCAGATGTAGCATTCATTCCATCAAATAATCCCAATTTTGCCTGGAAGTTTTCATGCTGGGTGCATAACATCAAAGGACCTCAAGGCATTTGCCCAGGGTCACACGATGAGACAGTGGATAAGATGTATTGAACCCACAAATTCCTCCTCATTATTGCTTTATCAACCAGGCACTACCCAGTACCTGCTGAGACTTTAGATTTGGAAGTATTCCTAATTGGAGCTGGCATGCTAAAACCACATAATTATGCAAGAAGTGAATACTACATGATGCTGACAAAATGATGCCCTACCTAAGTTGTTAATAATTTATTTTTTCTGTACAGGTTTCTGTGACTAAAGCTGACAGAGCCCTGGGCTTTGCAATCCAAACATGCTTTATTTCTCCATACTCAAACCCGGATAGGGTGTCTGACTATACCATCATAGAAAACATTTGTCCTAAAGATGAATCTGTTAAATTCTACAATGAACAGAAGGTGAATCGTCCTATACCACAAGTACAGACAGACAAAAAGAGGTTTAGCTTTGTGTTTAAGCCAATATTTAATATTTCACTACTATTTCTTCACTGTGAGCTGACATTATGTACAAATAAAGAGAAAGATACCCAAGGACTGCCTAAGGTCAGTAGCTTCTTAACCTGCTTGAACTTTTGGCTATAAATATATTTTCTTCATGATAAATGGAAATTCAGATCATAGCACTTCCAGATATTAATTTTTCTATTAGAAATTTTATAGACTCAGATTAATGTATTTTACATGCTATTAGTGGACCTGAGAGTGTTTATAGAGCCCTTTCATTAACAGCTGTGATGAATCTTTATCACGTTTACATTTTTTCACTCAAAATGTCATAAAATGGTTAGATATGGTAAATAGAAACTGCTTGCCATAGGGGTGTGGGTCGAGATTTATCTCTGCTATTCAGATCATATAGTAATAGCCTGAATATTGTTAATGTTAACTTTCCAGAACCTCCTGAGATAATATTGCAATTGTCTTTGAATTTCCACATGTGAATTGCAAGGCTGACCTGCCTCAAGAGAACTTGGAAAGGAAATAAGTGAATGTTAACATTTTGTTTGTTTGGGGGGGGTTGTGGTTTCTTTTTTTTTTTTTTCATTTTTGTATTGTTCATCTTTGTGGTGCTTGTTGTTGGTGGTGGTTTTTTTAACAGTAAATTCCCATATTGGGCTACTTTCATACATCAAAACAAAGTTCCTGTTTTCTGTCTGGTTATTGTGAGAGACAGTTGCAAAACAGTTGCTTTATAACCAGCAAAATCCATTCTTTGGCAAAGACTTGCACTCTAGGAATTCTGACTTCCTCTTAGTTTTTTGGGGACTTATGTGCATAATCTCTAAAATGCAGCAGTTGTTGTTGTTGTTGTTCTTCTTCTTCTTATTATTATTATTATTATTAATCTGTATTAATGAGCTATGTTGTTGACCACCAGATTTGCAAAACTCAGTTCTGTTTTTGTATGTGTAAAACTTTGTGTCCTGGTTGGATAAAACCCATAAAATATCTGTCTGTGAAAATCGGCTCAACTGGAAGCCTAACCAAGTCGATGCATGAGTGCAGAAAATTAGCTGCTACAGTGGATGGTACTGCGAAGAGCTTTCTGAAAACTTTTTCCACAGTGGCAATCAGCATCAGCCTTTGTTATCCTCGAATACAGCAATCATAGTCACTAAAATTCAGTAGTAAATTCCCATAGAGTTTTAGAAAATTTAGTATTAAAGCAAAGTTTACATCTTGAAGCACAGTTGAGAATGTTTGTTTGTTTCCTTTACCAATATTACAGAGATTGTTTGGGGGTTTTGATAACATTCAAATCTCCTGTTTCCCTTCAGTAAACACTACTGAACAACACTGATAATGAGACGGCTGTGCAGCTGTTCCGGCTGGTACTGTGTTTTATTTTGAGTGAATCCCTGACCTCACACACTGTTACTTCTACCCACAGTGCATTCCTCCTGATGAAGCCTGCACCTCTCTCAATGTTAATATGATCTTGGCCATGATGCAGAATAAGAAGACATTTACCAAACCCCTTGCTGTAATACCCCATGAAGAGAAACCAAAAGGTAGCAATATACATTTTGAACCTGTTAACATAGCTATATTGCATTATATAACATATGAGAATTTCAATGGCAAAAATGTGGCTCCAAGCACTGTATATTCTAATGGGGCTGTTGTTCTTGCAAAATGTTATTCATTTACAGATCTGGGGCACACATCTCCATAATATCTGAATGCTGGCAGTCACGTCCTTTTTTAACCTATTTTACTTCTTTATGGTAAAGTAGCTTGGCTAGGCATTGAGAAAGGAATACTCTCTTTTGTGCTATACAATATGGGTTTCATAAGTATTAATATGGTAGAATTGCTTCCAGCAATTCATTCTTATTTAGAAATTGAAATCAGTACTGTATTATCTGCTATGTAATTTCTTCTTTGTGGTTGTAAATATTTATTTTAGTATGGCAATTATAGTAGAATTTTGTAAAGCAGATGGGCAGCCTTAGGGAAAACAGTTCCACTAGAAGATTAGATCGTTAAGAAAGAGGATAAGAACTGTTAGCATTCATTAGTTCTGTTTGGTTGGGGATCGAGTATATTAACTCATTTATAACTGTTATGAAAAATGTAAGTGTAGTTTCATGAAAATATACCGATTCCTGAGTACTATGCTGCACATGATCATTTGGTATGGCTTTTAATATCCATAACCCTACGTTAGATAGACCTCCTCTGCAGTATTCCCCATAGAGATAAAAAAGATAGGTAATATTGTGGCTTTACCTTCTTGGAAGTCAGAAGGCAAAATGATGTAAAGCAGTGGTCTCCAAAGTGGGGTGTGCGCACCCCAGGGGGTGCACAAGACAATCCATTGGGGTGCAGGAAGAAAATATTAGAACTTCTATTTCTATAAATATACGTATATTGGGGGTGCATGCTCAAATTTTTTACTGATAGAGGTGCACAATCAAAAAAAGTTTGGAGACCACTGATGTAAAGGTTGATAAAGAAGTGACCACCCATCCACTTCACTTAAAATCTTTTGCCTCCTTGTTCTTGTCAACATGGAGCATTCAGCCGAATCTCCTTGCTCTAACCTGCTTTTTCTACTTTACTCTGAGAAAGAAGAGGAGGAGGAAAGAAAAATCAGAACAATTAAGCAAGAGATGACTTCCAGGATGGAAAGAGAAAAAGCAGAGTTGTTTTGGTACTTGCTCATCTGCAGCAGGCGGCTGAGTATAATTGGGGAGGGGCTTAAACTCCCACCCTGGCCTGCAAGGCCCCCAGCCTTGGTGTGCCTAGAGGGGGAAGGGAGACACAGCCCTTGTCAGTTTTGTCCTGGGGGGGAAAGGGGGGCATGGGCAGGAACCAGCCAGGAGGGCACCTCAGGCAAAAGGGAGGCAGGAAGGGGGATTAAACTCCCCCGTCTCTCCTCTGTCCTGTGGACACAGGGACCCCAGCTGGGGTCTGCCCGGCTTTCCACCTCGCGTGCCACTCGCATGGTAGGGGGCATGTCTAGAGCCAGCCGGTATAGCCCTGCCTTGCCCAGAGCTGGGGCTGCAGGGCGGGGCTGAGCCGAGCCAGCCCATGGGCACTGCTGAGGGTGGGCATGAAGGGGCTGGCCCGGGCTGGGCCGCAGGGGTAGAACCCTTCCTAGCCAGCTGGGGCTCGGCTGGGACTGCAGGAGCTGTGCACCTGGATTTCTCCCAGCTCCCCGTGTCTGGGCCAGGCTGAGCTGTCATGGAGCCGCAGCCAGCTGGGAAGGGCGCTGCCCCCAGAGCCCAGCCCAGCCCAGGCCGGCTGCTCTGCACCTGCCCTCAGCAGTGGCTGCAGCTGGCCCAGCTTAGCCTTTGGATAGTGGATCGGCCTGGACTGACTTCAGGTCAAGGCCTTTCCCAGGTGGCTGCGACTCTGTGACAGCCTGGCTCAGGATGTATGGGTGGCAGCTGGCCAGGCAGTGGCATGGAGGCGACACTGCTGCAGCTGTGGGCAGGCGCCTTGGCAGCCAGGCTGGCTTTGTGAGATGAGTCCTTCGTGCCCGCAGCTGCCTGGGCCAGCTTAGAAGCACCAGAAGGCCCAGAGCCCGGCAGCTGCCTGCTGTGGAGGCTCATGTGCCTGCAGCCACCGCTGCCACACCCAGCAATCACCAGCTAATGTCCAGATGGCTAATTTTTTTTCTAAGCATCTTTCAATACCTTGTTCTCTTTCTGTAGGCCACTTTTGACTTGCTCAATGGCTGTGGTCTGTTCCTTTTCCTTGTTTACTACTCCAGAGCTTTGTGCTTAAATGCCTTCCCCTGGGAGCGGGGAAGGGTGGCATCTGACTAAGTAGGCTGCTACCTATGAAAGCATATGCCTCTCTGAACCAGTTACTCTCTGCCATCCTGCCTCTGCCATGTCTTCTGCATGAGAACAAAAAGCTGTGTACAGAAGTGCTCCATGTTTGTTTTACAGCACTGTTATTTAGAGCACTTTTTATAGCATTATAAAGTTACAGCCCTCTTAAACATGACAGAAGTGCGGGGTCGGGGGGTGGCACTCTGAGCCTTCCTGCACTCTCCAAGCTAGGAGGCAGAGGGCACTCCGCAGCCTCCTGGGGCTTCTCCACTAGTCAGAAATTTGACCAGCATTCAGAACTTATTTAAAGTACTGTAGGTTGCTAAAGTGCTATAAAATACAACACTTTAAATTTAATACTTCATTTAACAAGGGTTAATTTAAAACGCTGTACTGATTTTAAAGTACTGTAAAGCTGTGCACTTCCGTTAAGTCACAGCAATAAAGCACTTTAAATAGCAAAAAAAACAACAACTTCTGTACAAACCTAAAAGATGGGAATTGGAAGTTGGTATATTCCTCCCTGTGTCTCTGATTTAAGAGCTCTGAAGAAAGTTAAGTGACACTGGGCAAAAATAATTCTTTCATCTGTTAACTCCCAGATGGCTTTCTGAATATGGTTAGCCACCAGCTTGTGATGAGGACTGATCTCTTTTGATCAACAAGAGCACATCACGGCCCCAGTCAGAGAAATACTGAAGTTGTATATTAAGAATGCTTTGCAGTTATAAGCAATACGGAGCATCCAGCACCAGTGCTCTTCCTGCAGCATTGTTGCATTGCATAGTGCTGAAAGAAGCAGAGCTCTTTCCTACTTTTTCTAACATTTTTTCAGCTTTTTCTCTTGGAGCCTTTTCTTCAAATCTGCCTATGTTGTGTTCACTCTTCAACCTAATTGCCTATTTACATAACCTCATAATGGAGAACAGTTGGCTGTAACACTTACATGTGGAGGTGTTGTATTACTGTCTTTCACAAAAGCTCTTGCTCTTGGGAGCTGCTCCTCCAAGGTATTTTTGTTTGCTTTGCAGGTGCTTTGATGTTTTCCATTCAGACCTCTTGGGGGGAAAAGAATCATTAAGCCACTTCCTCTAGAAGCAGCCACTTCAGTTGCATTTTTTTTTTTTTACTAGAGAAATGAGAGTTATGTTTTTTGATAACCTCTATTTACAGTTTTTAACACACAATCAGTTTTTCACCATTTCAACATTCTCAGAAGTGAGAACTTGAAGTCATATAAATTAACCAATTGTTTACATAGGCTTTGTCCTAAATCTTTAAAAGGGGGAGGAAATATATGTCTTGGAACAAAGGCAGTCTGCAAAGCATTATTAGCTTTGCAATGAAGATTTTAGAAAATAAAGTTCTGGGCTTATTTATAAAGAGTGATGAGCTAATCTAAGGGGAATCTGTCTGTTAGGACCAGGTAGATTAAGGACTTTTTTTATGTTCTAGGCTCCTTGCCACTGCAGATTGAATGATTTCAGCAAAGAGTTGTTCAGTTGTGTTGCAATCTAGCTGTAAACCTTCCCTCTGGATTCTATATATTTTTGATGGATCTTAAAATCTGCCCAATACTGTGGCAACCAGTTGCTATATTCCTTTCAAAAACTTTGAGTGTAACCTGGAGGCATACTGTGCCAATGACATAGGGCAGTTTTTAATGTAAAGGATGATATGTTCCAACTACTTACACTTCTTCAGCCCTTGCTAGATAAAAGGGTGGAAGAGTAGGATGGGACATCAAATCCTGGTATCCTGTGCTGCAGTGCATGGCATGCTGTTTATTTACTAGTTTAGTGGAGAATAAAGCAGCCCTGGATCTCCACCCTTACACACGCTCGTACTATCTTGGCCTGGCACAGAATAAGTGAAACGTGTCCTTTAAACTTTCATTTTTGAATCTCCCATTAATACAGCCAAAATCAATACAGTCTTGACCAACAGCTTTCATTGTATAAATGTCTTTAAAGGACATTATCAGATAAGAGTTCCTATAACTGTCTGGCAGCTGGCTTCTGTCCAAACTGACTTGGAAAGGCTTCTACCCTGATGCTGACGTCAATGAACCCCTTAGGCATGCTCCATGGAATTCACTGATGTAATCCAGTTTGACCTTTGGGGTGGGGTGGAATGAGAGTTTTCATGGTTGTACGTATGTGGGTTGTGTGATGGGGGAGGGAAGGACAGGGACCAAAATCCAGGGATTGCATTCTGCCAGTGAAAAGAACTCAGTCACTTTTCATTCTTTTCTTGTGTGATCTGGTTGTACTGGTTCCAGTTCCCAGAGGCCTGGAAAGCTTTGGAACTAGCTTCTCTGGCACCTGAATTGTGATAGAAACACACACTTTATCTAAACTATTTTGTGCATTTATATTGGTTATTTCTAGGGCCATGCGGCAAAATGATTTGGTGTTGTTCAGCTTAGTGGCTCATTCAAGTGTAAACAGGCAATGAAAATAAGTTTTCCTCTGTTAAACATTCCTACATGGCCCATAGGCTGTGCATTTGACATTCTGATGTTTCTGTGTCAATAAAGTGTTAGTTTATGTACACTTAAGATAATTTTTGTTTACATTTATAGTGTAGCAAATATAAACTAAAATACAATGTGCTCACTTCTGTCTCCAAAGAGGAAGTACAATTCTAGTACAAATCACTGGGAGCTGTACCCATGTATGAAAAAGCAGATTGGATCCAGTGGGACAGATCCCCAGTTGGTGTGAACTAATTGGTCATAGTTACCAGTGAAGAAAACTGATTTTTGCCTAAGTATATTAGTTGCATGTCTGCTCCTTTATGTTTATGGAGACATGGAAAATATGAACTATTGTTACAGATTCTTGTGTGAAAATACTTCTTACCAGAGCCTCTCTGACAACAGCAAGGATGTGCATTGTAACGCATTCTTAAAACAAAATAAATGCGTATTATCTGTTTTTTAGTTTGAGCATGGCAATTTAATTAGAGGATTTTAATGGCTGTACTTGGAGATCAGAATCTTCCATTTGTTACTTGCGAGGCTGTTTGAACTTTCTGAATGCTTTCCAGAGAGTCAAAAGATGGGGGTCAGAAATCCTTTAACTTTAGTGCTGCAGTGCCTGCTTTTTAGTGTTTAAACAGCTTCTGGTACCATGGAGCTTTGCTAGGGGACATAAGCAACAACTGTTTCTGTTTAACTCAGCACGTCAGCCCATGTTTTATAAAATTCCTTTTTAGTACAGATTAAATCCACAAAAAATTAGAGGCAAATATTTAATGTAAATATGGTACAATTAAAACTGTGTGTGTGGGCCTGATCCTGAACTCTCCCCTCATGCAGACCTCTGTGATTAATGTATTCTGTTGGGAATGAGTAAACTGTAGAACTAAAGTTAATCTTTGAGCAAATGGATTTACATTCTGAGCTCTCGTTCCCTCTTGGGCTAGGGACAAACATTCAAAAAGCCTGAGGCTGAATTGATTCAATCTTTGCATGTTAGTCTAACCTGGATAGGCTAACTTACTTTGTAACTGTACAGTCATCCCAGAAATGCAGGCACATGCCTGCAGTGGCTCAGTCTAGAAGCTGGGGGGTGCTAGAGCAGCCCTCCCATCCCTTGCACAGTACTGAGCTGAGGGGGGCATGGCCAGGCCCAGCAGGATGCTCTGTTTAGCCCAGCAGGGAATTGATAATAGTGTTTATCACTCCTAACTCAGTGTTTATCTTCCCATTAAGAAAATAACAGAGGGACATTACCAGCTACCTGTTGATTCTACCTAGCTAATACACAGACCCATAAGCAAGGCAGAGAGGAGTAGGGAATCTTGCTTATCAGGGAGAGGTGAGGAGGAGGGAGGAAGCAGCTTGCAGTCTCTGCCGGACTTGCAGCCGGAGAACAGAGGGGAGGATACAGCCCTGCTGTGGAGCAGAGAGCCTCGCCCAGCCCAGAGAGCATGATGAGATGCTGGGGGTGTCTGGTTTATCTTAAACCAGCAAGGGGTCTGGGATAGACATTGCATAAACCAGTTTGACCCAAATCAGTTAAGTCTGATACTGCATTCAACCATGTTTATCTCAAACCAGTTTCAGCCATTTTCAAACTGGTTTATGTGCACTGAACATCTGTTCTGTTACAGGTTTAAACCAGTTTCTGATTACTTAAACCAGTTTATGTGTAATGCCTGTCCCTGGCTGGTGTTTAGAGCTTTGTGTGCTACCTCAATCTATTACTTTAGCCATTTTTTTTTTGTAAAGAATACTACAGGGTCTTTGTATAAAGACAAGCTAGACTTATGTTGATTTGTTAGGAGATAATATTGTGATAGAATATTTTGTTGTATTGTAGGTGATCTAGTCTGTGGCATGAACAAAGTGTGCTCCGGGGGGCTGGGGGGGGCACGGTGACCACCTGCAGGCGGTGGCGGTGGTGTCAGCGCCAGGGGCATGGCCACAACAAGCAGGGAGCTCCCACAGGCGGGGTGGGGGTGGGTGGCAAGAGCCGACTAGCGACCGCTTGCAGACACCACCATTGGCATCATCCCACCAATGGACTGTGGGATGTTTGATGGAACTCTTCCAAGAATATTGGAGATTTCAGGCATAAAGTACAATAGAACACTAACAACATATCTTTGTTGTTATGCAGCTTTTCCCCAATGAATCAAATGGCCACTTTCTGAATGTTGAATGCCAATGTTGGCTAATACAGTGATTCCTTAAGATGTGGAAAAGAAATTGCACTGCACTACTAAATAAGAGAATTTGCATCTCAGAGATGTCAGGTTACCATTTCCTTTGATGTGGAACAGGCTAGCTTTCATTGCAGCAAGCCATGTTATTGGAACTATTCCTGTTACATTTGCTCTGTAAGCCAAGTGAAGAAGCTTGTAGGCTTGATGTTTTGGGAGCTAGAACAAATTGTTCGATGCAGTGATGTCTGTTTTTTTTCACTGTACGTCAGGCGCAACTCCCACTGACTGTAATATGTTCTGGGGCTGTGCATCTAGAGGAAAAATCAATAACAGCATAAATACATAAACCCTATTAATTTTGCATTACAGGTTTTACAAACTCACTTCTTCAGCTTTATATACCAGATCCCAATGAAATCTCCTAAAACCAAACTGTATCAGAAGTGTTGCATTTTATTTCTCTTGACACTTTGGCATCCTTATATCACATGTTTTTGGCAGAATAAGAATTAAAGGCATATAGATAAAGCGCATTGTATTCTGTGAAATTCATGTTCTTTGTTGTAAAATCTGTCTCATTTCACTGTTCAAATTATACGAGGGATGGAAAAATTGATTTTTTTTTTTATCAGTGAAGAGAACAAAGTCACAGAAGAAGGTCAAGTGAGTGACAAGCATTTTTTTTCTGTACAAAGATATAGAATGTGTTTTAGTACTTTAGCACTTCCACGCACTTCACTTGGAGCTGGCTGCTAATACATGAAAATTACACACCTTTTTCTGGACCTCAAAGACTCTCTTCTCTCTTGTGTTGCACAAAGCTCTACCAAGCAATCCACATTAAAATCCATTGGAGAGGAACTGGATGACTTGGTGGGGGACTGTAATGTGATACAGAGCTTATCATTAACTGGCAACCTTGTTCTCTGGGGAGAGGCCAATGACAGAATGAGTATGGAAAACTAATTCCTGTTTCATTTCAGGAGGCATTTAGTTCAAGGCTAGGATATACTAACTGAGCGTGTGGACAGTCTTTTAGCACCATTATGTATATTCAAACAGTCTGAGAAAATTAAGGCTGAGACTAAAGTAATTGTACTCAGTGCAATATATACTCCAAAATAGATGAATGAAAATGCTTTTTTTTAAAAAAAAACAGGAATTAAATTCTTAAGCTTACACAAATAATCCTTAACCTTTTCCCAGTTCTCACATTAATGTTTTAACCTGCTTGTCTAGTTCACCTAGGAAGATGATGTACAGAAGATAACCACATGTTAAACTACATCACTGTAATTTTTCTACTGGTAAATAAACACGACTTTGGCTATTGCAGGCACATGTTTCTAATGATCTAGTAGAATTTTGGCCCTTTGATCTAATGCGTTGTTTAGGGTAGTTAATTAAGTGGCATCTTAAGAGGCTCTAAACTGTAGTTGTTGCTTAGCAGTACTTTATTAATTTTCCCACTGTATTGTTTATCCAGTAATTTTCTTTGGAAAGTTTTTCCAGTAATTTTATTTTGTAGTTTCAGATATCTTTTGGAACTACAAGAATGTCTCTTGTCTCTATAGCAAAGTTGATTTCAGTCTTTTTTTTTTTTTTTTTTTTAAA